AGCAGCAAATTAAGAGGCCAGGCCAGGAAATTCACTTCCTTTCTACAAGTCCCAGAATCCAGCATGTTGGCACACTAGAACATAACTTGATCCAGCCTCAAGATTACAAATGAGGGCAAGAGTCAGTCAAGAACCCAGATGTACCGAATCATGTTTTACAAAATAAACTTTCCACCCATCTTAGCTGCAGAGAGGAGAGAGGCCTGCTCGCTCTACTCTAAAGCACTCTGGTAATTTTTATTTACTGATAGCCTCTGCTCCAGGGGAAAAAGAACTGTTTGGTGGAGCAGATGGTTATCTTGGCTACTGGAAGTCCATTTTTGCAGAAGGGAGCCAAGACTGCACAGTCTGGACCAAGGGGAAGTCATGTGGTTCATTGGCCACGACTTCCCACATATCTTTGCATTCAACAAAACACACCCCCTTGTCCAAGGTGAATCAAAGTCACTTTCTCCCTATCTCAGAAAGATAACTTGCAAATTAGTCATGTGAATGTGTTAGAGTGGTCCATACTTGGGTGTCTCTGCCAGCTTCTTGATCCCACTGGCAGACCTATTTACAAAATACCCAATACCCTAAACAAAGAACTACCCACTCAGACAAACAATTAAATAATACATAACAGACTTATCAAAGAATTATAAAAAAGAAAACAACACATACCAACACTGACAGGGCAAACCATTTGTATGTAAACAGAGAGCAAACCCTATTTCCTTCTAACACTGATGATGTTACCTAGTTGGGTAATGAAACGTCTGCAAGAAAACAACCAAGCTCAAAGAGCACCAAGGTCTTATAATGCAAAACTATAGGGAAATGTGGTTTTTCTCCCCAACCATTATCTGACAGCCCTATCCCAAGACCAAGCTCAACCCAGAAAATAGCTCTCAGCATTACAGTGTCTCTAATTCTGATTGGTCAGCTGCTCTGACATCATAGAAAACTGAACAATCCTTACACCAGAGCAAGAATGAAGATTAAAACCCATGAAAGTGTTTCTGTCCAGTTGGGGAAATAGTTTTGCTGCCTTTTGCTCCCAAACATAAGGCAAGATATAAATGTAATACATAAACAACAATAGTCACAATGTGAGACACAGATTTGCAACCACTTCTAACCAAAATTATTCCCAAATATATTTAATCATCTAATACACCTGTATCAAAGGTTAAACCCAGAACATAAATAATAAAATCTACATTAAAAAACTCAAAACTTTTTTTTCCTGAGAATGGACACTGAAATCTTGTAGTGCAGGCATGTCAAACTGCCAGCCCACAAGCCGGATGCGTCACACCAAAACCATGCCCACCCCATGGCTGGAAAAAGTCGTGATACGTCGCATGACATCGCGAGTTTGACATGCCTGTTGTAGTGCAAGGATTTCCAAACTTGGCAGATTTAAGACTTGTGACTGAGGGATTCTGGGAGTTGAAGTCCACAAGTTTTAAAAGTTGCCAAATTTGAAGTGTAGTGGATTAATTAATAACTCAGATTGGAGACCCATGTTCAAATCCTTAACTGGCTAAATAAGTCACTTTGGGTCCAACAATTAAGCCTGATATTTCTACAGAATATTTGTGAAGCTACAACGGGACAGTGACATAATGTTTTGACCCAGATTGAAGGAAGAAAGCTTCAAAAATCTATACAACACAACCTACTGCAATGGTGGAGAACCTATGGCATGGGTGCCAAAGGCGGCACTGAGCCCTCTCTGCTGCCGTGTGCAAGAAAAAAAAAGGTTCAATCAATCAGTCAATTTCAACTTTTCATGGGAAAAAAAAGATCTTGCAAAGTTGGAATTGATTGAACTTTTTAGTCCCACCCAGTCTGCCGTTACCACCGTAGCCACGCCCACCCAATTGGCCACACTCACCCAATGGGCCACACCCACCCAGCACCCTATGATGCATAAGTGGGTTTTGGATTGCAGTTTGGGCACTTGGCTCTAAAAAGTTCACCATCACTAACCTATTGCTTTGAAAATCCTGGAGCACTTTAAACAGTACCGTGCTTGTAGAAACCAATAGCTAAAATGCGGTTGAGAAACCACTATCCAAATCCTGAAACAACTATGTCCTTCCTGGTTATCTGTCTTAAATGCAACTTCAGTCTGAAAAATTTAATAATTTTGTCCTCCGTCTGTAAAATGGAATAATTTATAGCATAAAATAATAAGTCAAATATACTACTCTGTTGTAACAATCAAAGTTTGCCTACTAACTTTATATGGGCTGACCTGAATTCTTCTCCCACAATCTGTAAAATGGGAATAGCAGTCAGTTACATTAAATGTGTGCGGATAGGTGGAGAATTAGAGAGCAGAAAAACTTTGAATATTCACCGTGTAAGAGCAATTGTCTTTCAGACAGTCTGTCTCTCGGATGTCTAGAATAGTGGTTACAGTGTGGAGTTGACCCTGGCCAACTGAATTCTGAAATACAGATTCCTTTGGGCCAGTAACTATCTTTCAATCAAGTCAACTCAACAGGATTGATGTGAAGCATATACTATGGACATAATAAAATAAACATGTTGCATTGTTAAGCATACATGCTAAGTTTAGCACAGAAGCTTGTTTCACACATACTACTAAAACACAATGTGGTTTATTTTGGTTTAATACAGTATATGAACCTAGCCACTGTGATTTGACGCCTAACGTAATGCAGGAAACACGCCAGATGCCTCCACAAAACCTAGATTAGCAGAATATATAAATTTAGCAGGCGAATCAACACCCAGAATTTCCTTCTCTGATGGCATTATTCTCCATAAAGCCTGGGAAAACAAATAACCACCATTGAGCTGTGCCTACTAGGAGGTGATTAAAATGTGCACACTGAACACACCTGGAGGTTGGGGGAGGCATACCAAAGCATTATTACTGTACTTAGCACAGTCCTTCAAACGTTGTCAGAAGTGTCTTAAAGGAACCTTGCTCTTTTTGCACACTGGAGAGAGCGGGCACATGGGTTAAGACTTGGCTTAATCAAATCTGCCAAATGCAACTGTTCTTTGCTAAGAGTTCATTTAAACGAGAGGAGGGGGGACCAAGGTCCCTCCCTCCCCCCCCATGCCTTCATGTCACCGCCGTGCCCTTGCAAGATGAAGCAGGCACATGGCAAAACAGACAGATGGGCTCTCCTTTCTCAATCCCAGGCTTGCTCTAGCAAAAGAGGCAGGCGTGGAGGAGGGTGACCTCTACCCACCTAGCAAACTAGGCCTCGCTGGAGGACCCAGGACCCGCCTCTTTCTAGTCGCCGGAAGGCCAGGCACCAGATCCTCTTGAAAGAGAAACCCAACAAGGTGGTGTGTGACCTTGTTGCAAGGAAGTTTTAGCTTTCTCGCTGCAGAGGTGCCCTGTGGCTTTAAGATGGGGGCAAAAGGCAATTTAACTGCAGTTGGGAGCTGGCAACATTAGTTGAAAAAGAACCTGGGGGGGGGGTTGCAGGGACATCAATCCAAGCACATGCTCCCCCAAATTATACATTTCAGACATGAATAAGCAGCCTGCAAGCATCTGGGTACCTTTCAAATGCAGTTCTAGCCCATACCTGATACACTGAAAGAACAAACCAGGGAGTGGCTTTTACTCCAGATAAATTAGCACACCTCTCATGAACTCTTGCACTAGACCCACTTCAAAACACAGCCATGCCCACGTGCCTTTCTTCCCAAGTGGAGATACTTTACATCCAGATAGTTTTCCAACTCTCATTTCTCAGGCATGTACTATTTATCCCACATCAGATTGAATCCCCCTGTAGACCAGTTTCTGTGCAGTCCTTGACAACTCCACAATTCTGCACTACCTTGGCCTTTCTCTCTCTCCCACACACAATAACCCTGCAGGATAAGCCAACATTAAGTTTACAGTATGCCTTACGTGGAAGAACCAAGAAAGGGGGGGAGCCTTTTAAATACAAGCTGAACAGCAAATTATACTCTTTCCTTGATTGATAACACATGTTCTGAAGCCTGTAGAATATGCCATAGCCGCCCCCCCACCAGATTTGTTACAACTCTCTGAATTTGCAACCCAGGTTGTTGTAGCCTTAACACATCTGGAGGATGACCTGGTGGGAAGGACTACAGTCCTAAATATGAATTTTAAGCAAGGAAATAGTGGCTGTCCCCCGCGTTTGAAGGTGTTTTTCAAATGTCCTAGAAAAGCAAGACATTTCAAACAAACCTCCGTTCACAAGCCACAACTCCTTAACAGCCTTGACAGATTCAGCTTTTGGTTTGCGTGTCTTCCAGAGTTCCAGGTAGGCCTTAACAGCCTCCAATTCTCCTCACGGGCAAAGAGCTAGAAAGGGGCACCTGCCTAGGGAGAATCTTTAAACTTGTACAGCACCCAGCACCTCACTTGGGGTGCAAATGCAGAGCACCAAATAGGCCGGCTCTGCAAAAAAAAAAGGGGGGGGCAGGTATCACCCGCCGGAGAAAGTGGCAGGAAGAAACATGTTCGCAGGCAGACGCGTCGAAAACGCCATAAAAGTGCAAGTACAAGGCGCGTGGAAAGCAGAGGAATGAAGGACGGGTAAATGACAGAGTTGCGCGGGGGGGGGGGGGACTTAAAAGGGAAGGACGGAACCGCCGCTACCCCGAGCCCCTCCGGAGCCTTAAGTCTTACACTGAAGGGTTCAGCAGCCCCGTCGCTGCTGGGGAGCCCATTGGAGAACCCTCCCGTTAGGGCTCCGGGTGGGAGACAGCCGCTTTGAAGTGGTACACAAGCCAGGGAGGTCAGATGCAAGCCGGAGGGGAGAGGGGGCCGGTCATCGGACACGGGAGAGCCGCGTTCTTACCTGCCAATTAGTGTACCGCAGAGCAATCATCGGAACGCTAGCCAAGTATGGCTTCGGGGAGGTGGGCTAGCGGAGAAGTTAGCAAACATATGCGCGGGAGGGAAGAGAAATTCCCCCTTTGGGAACAACAGACGGGGGTTTATATGATTCACCGGAAGCGCCAGCAACCATTGTCACCCTCACCTCCGCTGCCCACGCCGGTTTACTCTCCGGAAAGCCCCTCCCTCGCAAACTTGGCGCATGAGGACTGGCACCTTAAGCCTCCAGTCAAATCCGCTACTCACGATGCGTCCGGTGCAGCCGGCTCTCCAGCTGGTGCGGCCGCCTCTCCTCGCTGTCCCACCCCCGATGCTGGTGCCAAGCCCCCGTGCGCTACCTCCGTGCCCAGCCCTGCCACCCGCCGCGGGCTGCTCAATTTTCTCCCCACGTGCTGCCAGACCGGGCCTTTTGGAACGCTGAGACATTCGAGCGATATACACAACGCTCCACTCGCCCCGCCCACCGCTCGCCGAGCGTTCCCCTTGCCCCGCCTTTCCTACCACTGTCTCGGCGGCAGCTCGCGCGAGAAGGTTCAGGAGGCCACGCCCCCCTGCCTCAGCCTGGCCGGGAGGGGGAGAGAAAGGGGAAAGGAGGGAAGAGAAAAAGGCTTAGCTAGCGCATGCGCAGTCAAGCAAATCCGGTTCTATTTGCAACGTAATAGTATACTGTAAAGCAGGGGTCCTCCGCCTTAGCAACTTTAAGCCTTGTGGACTTTAACTCCCAGAATTCCTCCGCTGAGGAATTCTGGGAGTTCAAGTCCACAAGTCTTATAGTCGCCAAGGTTGAGGACCCCTGCTGTAAAGGGAGTTTTGTTTATAAATAATGCAACCAGAGCAACTTTTTGCAAAATCTACTTGCAAAGAAATGGAGACCGTTATCACGATGGTTTTGAATACTTTTAAAATGCGCTGCTTTATTGATTGATTGTGTAAATGTGGAAGAAATTCAAAAGCACAATTGAGCTTCTTGGCTCTTGTAACTTGCTTGTAAGTTCCCATAAAAGAGTTCCTTTGATTCATTTTTTTTTTAAAAAAAGACCCTAAAAATCTCGATTTAACTTCATCTCCTGAAGGCTGAAGCATCGTTCTGGCTAGCTTCGTGATGATTCGTCGCATTTTATTTTGCAAAGAGCATCCGCGTTTAGCATTCATTGTAGAGTTTGTCTGAAAATCAATGGGAGAATCGTGGAGGCTAAAGATTTTTGGGGAGTCTTCCTGCAAAGTTCAGGTTTAATTTGCTAACATTTGGAAGCCTAAAACATGTGCAAGTCTAAAACAGAATAAAATTGTACAAAGTCAAAAACAGGCTAATGGCAGTTTTAAAGAAAAAGCATTTTCTTTCTACGGCTAAATCAACAAAGATGATCAAGGGACTGGAGGCTAAAACATATAAGGAATGGCTGCTGGAATTGGGTATGTCTAGTTTAATGAAGAGAAGGACGTGAGGGGACATGATAGCAGTGCTCCAGTATCTCAGGGGCTGCCCCAAAGAAGAGGGAGTCAAGCTATTCTCCAAAGCACCTGAAGGCAGGACAAGAAGCAAGGATGGATGGAAACTAATCAAGGAGAGAAGCAACCTAGAACTAAGGAGAAACTTCCTGACAGTTAGAACAATTAACCAGTGGAACAACCTGCCTCCAGAAGCGGTGAATACTCCAACACTGGAAGTTTTTAAGAAGCAACTGGACAACCATTTGTCCAAAATGGTATAGGATTTCCTGTCTGAGCAGGGGGTTGGACTAGATGACCTCCAAGGTCCCTTCCAACTTTTATTATTATTATTATTATTATTATTATTATTATTATTATTATATCTAGAGAGAAATAGAGATGATAGACAGATAGATAATGTATAAAATTTGATAAAAATACAGGGAAAGAAAAACAGGTTCTCACGTAGGATAAGCCTCTCCTACTTGACTATAACAAGTAGTTTTCGACTTACGACCACAGTTGTGCCCAAAATTTCTGTTGCTAAGTGAGACATTGTGAAATGACCTTTGCCCCATTTTACAACCTTTCTTGCCCCAGTTGTTAAGTGAATCACTTCACTTCTTAAATTGGTTACGTGTCTAAGTAAATCTGACTTCCTCAATGACTTTGTCAGAAGGTCACAAAAGGTGATTCCTTGGCCCTGGGGCTCTTCAACTATCATAAATATGAGTCAGTTGCCAAGCGTTTGAATTTTGATCACACAACCCTTGGTATGCTGCAGTAGCCGTAAGTGTAAACAACGGTCATAAGTCACTTTTTTCAGTGCTGTTGTAACTTTGAACAGTCACTAAATGAACTGCTGTAAGTCAGGGACTATCTGTATTGCCTTTTCTGAGCACTGAGGAGAGTTCAGCCTTTATCTTTTAAGAAATTGCATCTTTTAATGTGGATCTTGTAAAACCTTTGAACAGGTCGCTCTTTCTTAGCCTGGTCTACCTTACAGGGTTCTTGGGTGGTGGAGCAGTAGCTCTCAGTGATTGGCCGTACAAGTGGGGCACAGGGTAAGCCCTTGAATTTTAAACAAGCCTGATCACCAATGATGAATATATAAGTGGCCTTTTTGGAAAAAGAGGTCCTTTCATGCTTCCATCTGGATTAGGACCCTGCTTCTTTGCCAGAGTAATCGGTAGGATCTGAAATGAAAGATTGAGAAACAGATTGTAACCAAAGATAGGAATCCTGCCTGAATTTATCTAGGATCAAAAATCCCACCAGTTCAGCTACTTTTAAGTCTGATTTATGCCCAGATTATGAACGCACCGAACTTGAAAACAGAAACTTGAAAATAAAAATGTATATTTTTAAAAACCCACTCACAAACAGAACCACAAACTACACTTTGAGACTATACAGAGTAAATACAAATAGTCCTCCATTTATGACGACTCATTCAGCAAACGTTTGAAGTTGTAGAGGTGCTGAACAAATGGTACAGTCCCCAAAATTATGGCTGCTGCAGTGCCCCGGCAGTCATATGATTAAAATTAGGGTGCTTAGCAGTCTGCTGCATTTATAACTGCAGGGGTGCTTCAATACCACCCACCTCTCCCCATCTCTGCCCTTTTGTCTGCCCTGCAAAATGGCACTCCTAGGTGGTGGTGGGTTGAAATGGAGGCCTGGCACCTCCAGTCTCATCCAGCCACCACCAACCAGGGTCTTCTACTTCAGCTCCACTACAGCTGAGTGCTGCCTCAAGCCCCACGCCGCAGCCAGCTCCTACAACACAAAGCCACAACCACTCGGTGCCTGGCAGGCCTTGCTACCCCTAGCTGACCTTTGGGGTCTTCCATTGCTTTTTTTTTCCTATTCAAACTTTTATTGGTTTAGGGCAGTGGTTCTCAACCTGTGGGTCGGGACCCCATTTGGGGTCGAAGGACCATTTCACGGGGGTCGCCAAACAACGCAGTCTGCCATTTTTTTCCCCTTTTCCTTAGCTGTGCTACACCCTTTTATTCTATTGGCTTTTGAAAGCCAATAGAATAGACTCTCTTGAATAGAGTCTAATTCTATTGGCTTTCAAAAGCCAATAGGAATTGTCCAGGCTGTCTCTGCCCTGCTGAGCCTGCCAAAAGTCCCATTCTGCAAACGGTGCTGCACAAGTTGAGTAGTCCTCGACTTACGACGGTTGAGTAGTCCTCGACTTATGACCAGTTGAGTAGTCCTCGACTTACGACCGGTTGGGGGTCGCGGCATTAAAAGGGTTGAGAACCACTGGTTTAGGGTCTTCCATTGCTAATGCAGCATATCCATCTTGACCCTGTAAGTCTATAAAGTCCTAAATCTATATGGTGAACTTGATATCTGCCTCTAATCTTGCTGATAAGATTTACACATAGTCCATGTTTAGCGACTGCCTCATTTTGCAAATATTGACAATTATGATGGGGTTGGGAAAAATAACTTTGCACCCACACCTCACATAGATGCCTTAACCATTCTGTAAAGCAAAAGAAAGCTATGTTCTGAAGAGAACTTGAAATCTAGACAAGAGATGGAAAATCAGGGCATCGATTTAACATGGTGGTCACATTTACAAATGCAAGTGATAAAAGATGGATTTTACAAAGAGCAGATTATGTTTGACCAGACATTACTAACTTCTGATGAAAGTTAATTAAAAAAATGTACCATTTCTTATTAAATCTGAAAATGGAAGATGAACAGGTTAAAGAAACAATGATAGTATGGGCAAAGAATTTTGGATATAATATAGACTTAGAGAAGTGGCAAAGTTTGTGGGAAAGAAAGTATAAATTGACAATGTCAGCCTCCTATAGAGAAAACCTATACAAAATGTTTTATAGTTGGCACTTGCCACCAGCAAGATGTTTAAAAATATGTCAGAGAAATGTTGGAAATGTAAGCATAAACCACATACTTATTATCATACGTGGTGGACATGTGTTAAAGCAAGGAGATATTGGACAAAAATTCACTTGGTTAGAAAAAATGTTAGAGAAAACATGACTATAAACCTGAATTTTTTTTATTAGGTATAATGCCAGAAAAACTTGATAAGCAAAGTACATATTTGATTTTACATGTGATAACAGCAGCAAGAGTTATATTTGCACAATACTGAAGAATGAAGAAATGCCACCAGAAGAAGAAATAATTAAAAAAATACTACACTGTGCAGAAATGGACAAACTTATTTTAAGGTAGAAAGAAAAAGAAGAAACAGAATATTTTCAAACTTGGGACTTATTTTATCAATGGTTAGAGAAAAGATTTAGGGACTAGGAATTTAATTTGTATTAGTGAACAAGATACTCAGACAACACGTTTTGTTGAATGATTACTATTGAATTCTGTTAAAAAAATAAAACTTTATAAAATAAAAAAAAGAAAGCTGAAGTAAACATAGTCACAATTTCACTTAGTGAGCACTTCATTCAACAACCAAGTTGCCAGTCCCAATTGTGGCCACTAAAGAAGGACTACTTGGACATAATTTCTTTCCAAGATTTCATGAGGTTGGGAGGAATAACAAAGTAAGGAAAACTAGCTGAACTGGGATTCCCAAATCTTTCCGGACCAAATACAATTAGTCTTCGACTTACAATCACAATTGAGCCCAAGATTTCTCTTACTAAGCAAGACAATTGTTAATTTTGCCCCATTTTACGACCTTTCTTGCCACAATTGTTAAGTGACTCACTGCAGTTGTTAAGTTAGTAACACTGTGTTAAGTGAATGGCCTCCCTATTGAGTTTGCTTGTCAGAAGGTCGCAAAAGGTGATCACAGGACACCACAGCCGTCATAAATATGATTCAGTTGCAAGCATCTGAATTTTAATCATGTGACCATGGGGGGGGTGCTGTAACAGTTATACATCTGAAAAATGGTCATAAATCACTTTTTTTAGTGCTGTTGTAACTTCGGAGAGTCAGTAACCAAGCTGTTGTAAATTGAGGACTCCCTGTAGTAGAAATTTGAAGTTCGGATCTCTTTTGTTCAAGATAAGTATTTC